GAGAACGAGGGCAATACATACTTGATTTCCAGGATAATGTAATACTGATATTCAAACACGTTCCAGAGCAACATGCTCAAAGTATAATGACTTGTATTATCCCTCTCTACTGCTTTCTAGCAGGAATTACCATCCCTCCAAAACAAACCTCCCATCCAACTCTTCCAAACTGCTTTGGGTTCTAGTAGCATTTCTAACAGGAAAGTTTCAGTTATACGGCCTATATTTGACTTTTAAGATCCTTAAAATCTAAACGGTAACAAGAAAAACTGTTTTTCTTACTACGAGAAAAGCCAGAGTGCTACAGTGGGTTTGGGAAATAAGGGAACAGAAATGAGCTTAAGCTCTGGCTTGAAAATTTCAATACTATACAGCATTGCAGCAGGTGCATCACTAGGCCATTACTTACAATTACAGAAAACACACATAAGTTTTGTTGAGAAATGGGTGAGGTGCTGTTCAGCAGGAATGGAAGAATGAAACTTGCCATTCTTTTCCTTCCAAATCAGGGAAGCAAGGAATCTTTTGACAGGGCTGCCTACAGCACTCTTTCAGGAGAGGAAACTCTTTCAATAGCTGGACTATAAGTCAAATACCATCAACAATCAGTTAGTGATTTCTGTTTAAGTTACAGACCAAGGAAAAGGAGCACAGTACAGGGGGGTAAGGGTTTAATTCTTCTAGCGCTTTCTCTTCTGAATCTGAAAATATGAAATCATTTCAGGTTGAAATTAATTGCATTGTGTATACGGAGATCTTAGTTAGAAAATGTTGCATTTCACATGGGCAGAAAGCGTTGCCGTGACTCCTCCAGCTTTTAGTGCTAAGGTGATTTTCTTTCTTCCAATGAAACAGATGCAATCTAAAGACTAGCTCACTGAAATGGCATGATCTTTTTTGCTCTCGATCAGTAACACACATATTGAATTCTAGGTATTAAATCTGCGGTATTCCTACTGCATGTTTAACTCCTATACTGAGCTCATTCACAACTAAGATGAATTGCACCTTCACACATTTGCATGTGATGCACAGGAAGTTTGCCAATAACATCAGACACATACTATCCAATTCTTTCCCAGCATCTTCGTTTGCTCGGCCCATATGTAAGCACTGCATCCCACAGATCTATGTCTGGAGTCATGCTTGGCTCTGACTGAGAATCAGGAGTCAGATTGGATGCCGACTGGAATCCTTCATCTTCTGACTGGTCTATGCTTTGAGGAACCTGTCGGAGAGAGTTCAAGCTTTACGTATGAAAACATTACTGAAGAAACACATGCTGATAAAGATTTTGCTATCATTTGTGATTAAGTGATTCAATATGACTCAGCCAGTGCCCACTCCTTTCGTCTCTAACTTTTTTCCTTAAACACTTTCATTTGTTCCACTTCCACAGGCACCAATGCCTAAATACAAAACCACAATCAATCACCACTGAAATAATAACACAACGTTTGTTAATGCTAAAATTGAAACCTACTCCTTTGTAAGCATATAGCTCTGTAGAGAACAAAATGGCACTGCTCAGAATGACTTTTAAGCAGATTACTAATTCTAATTCTTAAAATTTGTACAAATTTTGTTAACATAGCTTGTTCTCTGATGCTTATTCACATGCAGAAAACCTGAAAGTGTCCAAGCACTGCATGTGCCACACTCTAATCTAGCAGTTGTACGTGCAGAGCAGCACCCAGCTCTAGTAGGACAATTGCACAATGACCTCCACACAAAAAACACAGCACGTTCTTCAAGAAATCTCAAATCCTACAGTCTGATGGCGAGTACAGCACTCAACAAGAAGTCTGCCTCCTCACAGTTAAGACTTACATCTGTATGAGTACAGGGCTTTTTGTTTTTAATATCTGAATTCTAGTTTCAGTTAGGACTTTGAGTTAAGGAATTGCAAGAGGTATTTATATGTTAAGTAGAGAGAACAAAGGAGGATTAAAAAAAGAAACAGTATAACAACTTACCAACTGTAACAAATGGAAAGACAGAAAAAAAACCACAAGTGCATTTATCTAGTACCTCGATAAGAATATAATGTAGCAAAAATGAATAGATTGGACAGTAAAAGATACAGTAGAAACTAAATGCTGCAAAGGTAAAAGGACAGCGGGACACAGGAGGTTTGATGAAATATAATGACTGAAAAAATGATTCAAGATACAAAAGTCACAAGGAAAATACACATTGGGTCACATAATCTGAAGAGCAAAGCACGAATATTCAGGCAGGAGAGCTTATGCAGTCAGGAACAGTAACAAGCAAACAGCAAGGCAAAGAAGTTCAATACACAAAGCAGGCAAAAAATGTAAGTAAAAGATTACTGGGGTGGAAAAGGCACAGATAAAGCTGATGGCTTAACTTCACACAACCTATAGCCAGCCACTTCTTTATACAGTTCTAGGACAAGACCAACATCTTCATTATCATACATCTCTGCAACAGGAAAGGAACAAAGGATCCCTGCTCCAGCTTAAATTCCAACTTGCTTCTATTACACATGAAATTACCACCTGTGTTCAAAAAAACAAGTTCAAAATGCCATCCTGAAAGCATGCATAGACTCTGAGTCCAAAATAAACGATACCATACTTTAATTGCAAGTCCAGACAAATCTGCATTGTCAGGCACTGGTGGCAAATCCAACTTGATGTCCATGTCGTAAGTACGGCTGTGGACAAGAGCACCAAAGAGCGAGACGCGTGTTTCTCTCTCAAACCTGTCCCCAGCAGGATAGTTCTGTGAGAACAAGCCTATGGCAGGGAGTCCTGTTCCAGGGGCAGCCTCCATGATCTGAAGCGTCTTCTGAATTGTGTCATTGAACTGACATTCTTCATTTGTTATTAGAGACTGTATATCAGCTTCAAACACACTTACATCGTAATAATCATAACCCTGATACTTGACATTTCTCCCGACATATTTGTTGTTCAGAAAATAGTCCTTTTTTTGTGGTACAAGCTGTGGAGGACCTGTTCCAGCAAGCTGTACAAAGAGATCCAGGACAGCATTAACCTCAGTAAATGGTAAGCACTCAGCTGCTTCCAGCTCCTCCACAAGACTCTCCAGCCTATCTGCCTGAGCTCCTAGTCCACCGACTCTCAGGTTGAAAGACAACATCAAAATCTTGTTTTTAACTGGAAGCCTGGAAATGTTTGATTGCAGCTTACGTGCTTCATCTTGAAAAAGGTTTATGAACAGAGTGTTATACGCAACCCTCTTCAGGTTTTGCTTAGCCTTCCTCTTGCTGATCTTCTGCCTGCCCAGGTGCACCTTCCATGGCAAACCCGTCAGGTGTGCCTCACACAGGTCATTGAACAGCTGCGTAATGCTCTCCATTTTTTGTCAAACCATGAGGCTACAGCAATTAGCTTGACAGTGAGTCTCTGGTTTCATGTGAAGATCTGGAAAATATCAGGAAAAAGAGGAGATGCTCATGACGTAAACATGAGAAGCAGGTGAGCATGTTTTAACTGAAACCAAGGCAGCCCATAGCCATGGAATAATTAAGGTTTAAAAAGATCTCTAAGATCATTTAGTTCAATCATCCACCTTCCACCAATGTTGCCCACTAACCCATGTTCCTATGTACGACATCTACATGATTCTTGAACACCTCCAGGGACCCATCACCTCTCTGAGCAACAAGTTCCCGTGCCTGACCACTCTTTCGGAGAAGAAATTTTTCCTAATATCCAACCTGAACATCCTCTGTCACAACTTGCGGCCATTCCCTCTCATCCTATTGCTGTCTTGCAGGAAAAGAGGCCAACTCCCACCTTGCCGAAACCTCCCTTCAGGAAGTTGTAGAGTGCAATGAGGTCTCCCCTGAGCCTCCTCTTCTCCAGACTAAACAATTCCAGTTCCCTCAGCTGCTCCCCGTAAGACTTGTGCTCCAGATCCCTCATCAGCTTTGTTGCCCTTCTCTGGACACGCTCCAGGGCCTCAGTGAGGGACTCAAAACTGAACACAGTACTCGAGGTACAGCCTCACCAGAGCTGAGTACAGAGGGACGATCACTTCTCTGTTGCTGCTGGCTACACTATTTCTGATACAAGCCAGGACACCATTGGCCCTCCTGGCCACCTGGGCACACTGCTGGCTCCTGTTCAGCCATCGACCAACACCCCTAAGTCCTGTTCCTCAGAACAGCTTTCCAGCCACTCCGCCCCAAGCCTGTAGCACTGCCTGGGGCTGTTGCAGTCAGAGCGCAGGACCCAGCACTCGACCTTCAATAAGATTTCACCCCACTTGCCTTAGCCATCGATCCAGCTTGTCTAGATCCCAAACGAGAACAAAAAAACTGACCCACTACATATTTAGGACACAAGCTATAAAAACACTGCCATGACTTAAACCCAAACTTAAAATCGCTCATTTTACAGCGACGCTTAACTCCAGAAGCCTATTTTTACAGAGAAGCCCGCCTGACTCCATGCCTTTGGGAACATCCCCAGGCGTGCCCTCCAGCCCCCAGCCGCCGCGCCCCGGCACAGCACAGAGCAGCACTGCACACCTATATGAGTGCACAGCCGCTGCGGCAGCGCGGTTTGCAGCCCCCAGCCGCCCCCCAAGCTGCTCGCACCCCCCATCATCCCGCGCACCCCTCCGCCCGTCGGTGAGCCCAGCTGCCCCCGGCAGCTCCCACCCGGCCCCGCCGCAGCTCCTCTACCTGCGGGGGTTTCCCCGGCGGCCGCCGCCCGCAGCTCGGGCCGCCCCTCCGCTCCCCCTCAGCGCGGCGCGGTTGCCGGCGCCGCTACGTCACGGGAACGCGACGGCCAAGGAAGGCGGGAGGGGCACGGCGCTACCGCGGCCCTGAGGTGCCGCACCGCCCCCTTCGCCAGCACCGCCCCCTGAGCGCCCGCGTCGGCTGCTCGCCAGTAGCGATCCGCGCTGCAACGCCCCTCCTCGGCCCTGCCGCCAGCGAGGAGCTGAGGAAACGCGAGCGGTCCGCAGCCAGCAAACGTAGTGCTGCAAACAGAGTTCTGACAGTACTTGCAAAGTTCTTTTATTGAAAATAGAGTTTTGCCCTCTTAGTCATGTTCTAATAAACGTAATCTACATCTCACGGCTTACAGAGGGCAGCAAAACAGAACAAGTGGGATCCTCCCTGGGAGAGAACACACTGGACACAGAATTTTCCAAAAACAGTCCTAAAAATAGGACAATGAAGACTGATTTAGTTAATCAGTGTGTGCAGCTGATCCCAATACCAACGGCAGTAGGAAAGCAGCCTAATGGATACATGTAATTTTAAGTGCTTGAAAGCAGGTTACATTACTGAAGTCACAGAGACAGAGTCCTACACCTGGAAACGAGCACAGAAAGGAGAGTGCTGAAAACCAAGGCACAGTATGGCTGTTGCCTCAGGAAGTCCATTTTGTTTTGAGTTCACAAGCTGCCTTGCCTGATGCCACCACCAAAATATAATAGCAGTGCTTTTTATTTTTTATATAGAAAACTTGCATTTGAAAGGAGAGCAGACTGAAGCCCATAGCCCCAGAACATTCACAGCACATATATACGTCATAAATGTTATTTTAGTCTTTACACTGTTTTACTCAATAACATATTGAGTGACTTTACCTATGCAAAGTATTATATGCTTTCCTCCTTGGGCTCTGTGTAGTTCAGGAGATTAGATTTCATCTCAATCACACACTGCCACTGCTGGGATGCTATTAACATTCTCTCATCAGTCGCAGGAATTAAAGGAAAGACCATATTTGGTGAATCCTTTAAGTCCTAGAAATGTATCATTAATCTGAAGGACCTGTTGTTGAGTTCAAACTCCCAGTGAGCTGGTGGTAGCGCTCAGGTGTCACACTGAGCCATTCTGAAATGCTTGGCTATTAGAATTGCTCATTCACGTTCCCATCTTCTGGAGTTTGCAAACATTCACGCAGTCAAGCTAGTGCCTGTGCAAGCCTGACTTTGCAGTCACATATAACACAGGCCTCAGAGCACAGAGGACTTGGTTTCGCATGTCAGCTGCATAGTGTCAACACAGAATGTACAAGCATAGCACCCTAGCAAAAACATGGATTGTAAGTATTTGAAAAAAAAGAGGAAACTGTAAATGGCTCTTATTCTGCTTAGACATCAACCACTTTTTTTTCCCCAGTGACTTGAAAGGCAAAACAAAGTGTCACGTTTTCTTCTGCTGCATAAAATGGTTTTAAAGTGCTTTAAATTCCATCGTTCACTGAAAAGAACACCAGTAAGATGAAGTTATTAATCAAGCTCATTCCCAAGTCCATAAGAACAGTTTTACTGGGGCTAGGCCACTGCTCCTGACCCTTTATTCTAAAAGCATTTTCTTTCAGAGAGATGCCCACCTTTACCACTGTTTATGAATATTCTGCTTCAAACCAAAGGTTATTCAGCAGAAAACTGTTTGTAAGTTGGTACTCTTAAAAGCCCACATACCTTCCTAAACTGATTTCCTTTACCTGGTCTTCAACTACATGTGAATGTATTTCAATCAGAACTAACCACTACTGAGTTAAGGAAAACTATTTTTCATTATTTTAAAATGCCATCTCATTCTGCACTATCTTCAGAAAACACATCAGCAGTCAGAGCCCGTGCACATCTTATTAAGCATTATTTAAACTCATAGAATTATGGTAGCTTTATTTCAGGATAAATAATACACATTTTTGGAGCAATGATACTCAGAGTTCCAAAGTGTACAGTTACACTGTGCTATGAAATGCAGTGCTTTCAGGCTCAAGGGGCAGAATCAAGGGCATGCAAGTTTCATACTGCTCACATCGCATCAGTGTGTTCCCACTGACTTAGAATTCAGTTGTATTTCATCATCTTTCTAAGAACATATATATTAATAACAACTAAAGACTACTTACCTGAGCACTGAAGCATTTTCCAGTCCTGCTGAAGCTGGTTTCTTAGTTTTTTTATTTGATTTACTTTTTCTTGGGTAGGAGGCACATGAGCTCCAAAATTTGGCACAGAAGCACCTGCAAGTGCTTTGGCTATACTTTGCATTAGATTTATGTCTGTGTCCTAAATAAGAAAAAAAAAGCAAACAGAACAGTGGGCTGCTTCCAATCGTATTAGATGGAAAAAGGTCATAACCTATCTTTAGTCAGAGCACAACTCTAAGCTGCACATTCCATGTGGAAAGCAAAGCCAGTCCCCAAATTGAGGCAAACTGTTGATCATCATCTGCTGCACATAAACACAAACATTAGCTCAGGCCTTGCATTCACGCCTTAGCTTCTCAATCGTGCAGGCTGCCTACAGCTCAGTGTGTGTCTGCCTGCTTTTGTTCTCAGGCCAGACAGAAACATGGGCTATTTATGTCAACAACTCAGATGTTCCAAAGACAGCATAATGAGCACAGTCAGAATACAGCAGCTCAGAGCAGTTCACACCCAACACACTGTTGCTTGATTTGGGTTCTGTCCCAGGTCACCTGAAGTACCATGGTGTAGCACCACTTCTTACCTCAACCACTGCAAGAATTCGAGACTCTGCTAGTCCTTGTAGCAAACCAATAATAAGAGAAATCCCACTTATTCCAAGGCTCCTGTTTGGTCCAACAGCTATTATTATCAAGTTGGGTTGGTAACTATATGCTACAGGGAGAATGAATCCAAGCACAGCAGAAAAGAAGTCATTCCTGCCAGCATCCTTTAACAAGAATGAAAAGCAATTTAGAACAAACATGAAGCTGAAAATGCTCATATGTAGGATTGGAAAATTAAAAAAAAAAAAAAAAAAGGCAAGAAAACTCCAAACCCAACATAACATGAGATTCAAAAAGCTTTCTGTTGACTCTAGGAACAGAATACTGATGTGTTTTCACAGCAATCCTTATATTAAACGTGCAGCTTTGATCAACACTGGTTATTCATATTTTCTGTAGCATCACTGCATTGCAACTCTGCCTTCTCTAACATAAAACAAAACAGCCACTGCAGGCTTACTCAAACCATGCACTCTAATTCACATTAAAGGTCTGTGAAGGAGCAGCACTACAGGAAGGGCAAAGAAAGAAATTTTTTTTTGAAGTCCCAATTGCAGTGAGAGGTGTAATTCTCAATGACATTTTATTAATTTATAAATCTATTCTATTCTTTGTTTTAAAAAACCCAAACTTTTTATCTTAGGATGTTTTCACAAAGTGCACCTTACCTCTTTCCAGTTTAGCACAATGTAGTGTTTAGAGCTGCTCTTTCCAGTCTGTTCTTTCTTGCAAACATGTATGACGAGTGTTTTTCTGTAATTGAAACCCACATCCGAGTATTTCACCAACTTCCAATGAGATAAAAAGTTCTGTTTTATCCATTATTTCAGTATAACGTATACTTTCTTCCCTATCTCGTCTTACCCTTTTAAATAATTGCCTTTGTTATTATTTTGCATATTCAACATTGTATTTTCAATCTTACATTTTCAGTAATAATTCAAATTTAAATTGATATAGAAGAGCTATACTTCAAACCAACCACTAAACTAATAAGGCAGAATTTAGAAATAGAAGCTTGTTTTCAGAAATACATTTTGGCTTGCTCTGTATTTTGTTTCAGGTTAAACTCAATGAAAAATCAATTCACAACTGATTTCTTAGTGCAGATTTCATCATACATATGGTCATTTAGGAACATTTATCATCCCTGGAATTTAATTTCCTAAATTAAAAAGAAGCCTCACCCATCTTCTGTGCTTGGTATGATATCCATATCTCCAACAAAGATGCAAAGCACTCTATAGAACACAAAGGAAAATCATGTATACATTCATTTGTACGTGCAAGTAATTCTTTTCAATTAATGCATCTGATTCAAAGAATTTGCATGCAGATTAAATAAATAAAAAAGAATGTACACCTCTCTGAACTTGGTCTATTAGAAGTATAAAGAAATTTAGGATACCTCAAGGGAATGCTCTTCTCCCACTAATCCTGGGGAAACTAAGCCAAGAAAATGCCCTTAGGTCAATTGCAGCCAATATCTGGCACAGAAAGCCTAAGCTTGCACAGCATTGATCCCTACAGGTGTTCTGCATTTGGTAAGGCAAAAGGATTTTTGTCATATGCAATGCTGTCTTTACTGCAAATCAAAAAACCTATGCACATTTGTTTTAAAATGAAGCCTTTCAACAAAGGCAACCTGACATATTTTATCCACTTTCATCTTTTTACATTTTGAGTAACAAATGCAAAAGATAAAAATTCACCTTTGAAACCCAAAACGAAGAGAATGTCTCAGTGCAACAGCAACAGAAGCAGAAGCTGCAGGTGATTCTGCAATTCCATTGCATACCTACAAAAGATTTTTTTTTTATTCAGAAGTAATTAGTGCTGCACAAGATCGTGTCGTTTCTTATTTGTACCAATTGTTTTTTTAACTTATGTATCATTCAAACAAAGCCACAGCTGCAGGGAAGAGATCCTAAGATTAAGATGTTATTAATTCGTGTACAACACAAAGGTCACATTTGATTCTGACACCAAAAGCTGTTGTACAGTTTCAAGTGCATGGTCCTGCATGGAAAGTCAACTGTAAAAGTAGATTATGTAGGTGAAGGTCATCTTCAGTGGTTCTCTCAGCAGTCTGCAGATTAGATGCACTCAGTGTGCCAGAATGCAAAACACACTGGAAAGACAGACACTATGAAAAGAAAGCTGTCCCAGAATTCTGACTCTTCCTTTAACATGGGTGAGCCATTACTTTCTAGAAAACATGGTGACAGTATTAATCAGTCAACATTTAAGTGCTGGTTTGTGTTGTGCAGAGCTTTAAACTCCTCGTGAAACATAAGGGAACATAAGCAAGGACACAACGTGTGCTCTTCCTGCTCAGTTCTCCTCTAACTCTGAACACAAAATCTCAGCATCACCTCCATATAATCTCAAATAGTCATTACTTGCAGATGCTATTTCCTTCTGCCAGTAGTTTATCTAATCTATTTATAATCTATTTAATCTATTTATAGTTTATCTAATCTATACCTCTCCTAGAGGTACCTGCAGCCTGTAACAATAGAAATTTGTTCCCAAAATCTACAGCCATGACTGCCAACAGCAGGAAGATGACTTACAAGAAAGAGGCCATTCTCACAGTTATTAATCCTCATTGGCTTTGTACTTCAGAGAGAGCTTTTTATTCAAAGAGACTGATTTACCAAATGAGACTGTTTGCATAATATACATTTGGCATTTTATTTTTAACTTGCTTGTTGTTTTCCTCTTTGTTTTTCAAAATGTCAGTACATAAATACAATCTTGCAACCTCTAAGTCTGCCTCCTTTTCATTCCTGACTGTGCAAGGATCAGATCACTGAGCTGGAACGGGTGTTTGGAATCATAGGGCACAGTGGTGTTTTGAACTGCTCTATGAAAGCAATCAGGGTGAAGGGCCAGGAAAACAAATGACTGCATAAATTATTGTACATATAATGATAGAGAGTACAGCTTAGCATACTCTGCTATCTTATAGGGTACTGCAGAAGTTAACTCTCTCCTGAAGTCTGCAGGCAAAACTCCATGCAGAAGTTGAAATCTATCTCAGATTCCTTGCTGCTCACTGGTGCTTGATACAGTCTTGTGCCCACAGCAACTGGAAGAACGAATATCTGGTTCATCCTTATGTTTGAGAGCGATGCCTCATGAGCTGTGACTGCAGAAAAGCAGAATAATGTCTTGCCCAATAATAATTAGAAAGGTGTCTTGAGGTTAATTACTCCTAAAATGCTTTCTCATCTCACATCCTCTCTTGTTAGCTAAGCACAGACTAGCTGAGATCAGCAGGGTTATGAACTACACAGTAACTAATATCCAGATGTAGAAGCAGAAATCAGGAAGGCAACCCCCAGCCCCCTCAATTAAACCACATTCTCTTTACCTCTTTCTTAAGTATTTTATCTAGGATGGTCAAAGCACTGCCAAGAGAGAGCAAAGTTTTGTTTGCTTCCACAAGGTCCGCATAAAAATCACTGTAAAATGAATCACACGAAGCAAAACTAGGTTAGATATGACAGCATTTTTGGAGAGGATCCTGATAACGGTATTTTGCAGTCAGTACTGACAGCAACACATTTTCTATAAATACTACACATTCATTCTCAAAGACCTAGCTCTAGCAGGAAGATGACAACACTCCTGCCTAACAGTCTCTAAACCTGTTTCTATTTGCACTAAAAGAAAACAAAAAATGCCTGATGATATTCAGGAAATAAAGTGCTGTCAAAATGAGACTTTCTAATTTTGGAAGTTGAGTTTCTGAAATTGCAATACCAGTCGGGTATTTCTTTTCCAGCTAAAAGCTAACACAGATCTTAGAGGCATTTTCCTAACACCTTCCTTCTAAACTAACACATTTTCACTGTCCTCTCTCTCTTGAAACATTCTGATTAGTTATGTAAAGGAGTCCGGAGGAGGGCCACTAAGATGATCAGAGGGCTGGAGCACCTCTCCTATGAAGAAAGGCTGAGGGAGCTGGGCTTGTTCAGCTTGGAGAACAGAAGGCTCCAGGAAGACCTCATTGTGTCCTTCCAGTACTTGAAGGGAGCTTATAAACAGGAGGGGGAATGGCTGTTTACGAGGGTGAACAGTGACAGGACAAGGGGAAAATGGTTTTAAACTTTAGGTTTAGGGAGGTTTAAGTTAGATAGTATGAGGAAGTTTTTCACACAGAGGGTGGTGACACACTGGAACAGGTTGCCCAAGGAGGTTGTGGATGCCCCATCCCTGCAGGCATTCAAGGCCAGGCTGGATGTGGCTCTGGGCAGCCTGGTCTGCTGGTTGGTGACCCTGCACACAGCAGGGTGTCAAAACTAGATGATCACTGTGGTCCTTTTTGACCCATATGATCCTATGACTTTAAGGAGAAAAATGGTAGCTAACTCTAATGTCTTAAGTTTTCAGAAGTAGTAATGCTGCCTGTGACTGAGTAGAGCGATGCCACGGAGACAAGAATAAGAAAGAATAAGATTATTAAGATTTTTTATATATAATTATTTATATATATATATATATATATATATAATTATGTAAGATTATTAAAACCATTATATGTGGTTTGTTCTGAGACCTCTCATCCTTATAATTAAGTTGAAAATTAATTAAATACGACCAACCTGACAAGAGCTTCTAGTTCATTTTTGTCCATTTCCTTCACAACATGAAGGTGTACTGGGAAGGTGTTTGGGTCTGCTGAAGCTTTCAACTCAGCTGTTGTTGCTGTTTTGATGGGAGGAATTGGAAATACAATATTTTTCATGTGCAACTCCAAAAATCTTTCTATTCTGTCAGTTCCATTGCTGTCAGCTATCTTAGCTTCATCATCTGTACAGGGATTTGTATCAGCAGTCTTTAGTAAGTCTGATTTGGTGCTCAAATTGTGCAAAAACGATGTGTCTAGAAAAAAAAGTTTCACGTGTATTAATTTGTGAGCAGTATGTTAATATTTAGTCACAATTATTTGCAAAACAAAGTACACCTGTATTCACAGTGTTTATATTTGTTTCCATGCACTGTCTGCAATATTTTGGCACAGACATTTTTCAGTGATGCTACAATTGTTTTAATCCAGAAAAAGTTTGTAAGTGATAATGAAATTCCACCATTTTTTTCCCCCACACAGCAAACAAAGATATCAAAGCACTACTTTTTAATGGGATGTTTGTCACCTCTAGAAGTTAACAATGTTTTTTTTCCTCAGACTAGCTGAAGACTTGGCCCTGAAGGAAGCCTCACAGCCCTCCAGCAATCATTTGGGTGAATAACTGGTAGTTCAGTTATTTCAAACCAGAGGAAATAATCTTAATTTTGAATTTCGGTATGAATCCTTTTACCAATTCCATTAATTACCTTCATACGTCAACCATTTCCAGTAGGGTTTATGTGCTGCTCTCACATTTTGAATAGATTCAATAGCACTGTGAAAGAAACAGGATTAACAGTGTCAGTAGTGATGAAAGAACAGGGAATAATTTACCAGTGGGAAAAAACAACACCGACAAGAAAATAAAATCACTGAAGAAATGTCTCAAAGCAGGAAATAGATTACAAAGTATCACATGTAAACCTTGGCAGGGAAAGTGTTCAAAGCTTGCACATCTTTATATCTTTGATAGCTACACAGGTTGTTCTAGAATTATTCCTATGCTTACCTTAGGCAAGGTGCCATTTCTCCAGTTACCTGAGGCAGAGGATCTCTTAACAAAGTTCTTACAGTCATGCAGACGGATTCAGACAAGGACCTCAGGTGGTACCCACCCTAGAAAAAGTGTTTCATTCCACATAAGGGACCAATACACATGAAGTCTGAATGTCATCACGGGAAATAAATCAAACTGAATGTACCTGAATTTACAGAAATGAAAGATTATAAGCAAACACAATGTAGTGTTTCATATAAAAAATTATTAAGTTAGAGGTTACCTGCTGAAGTTCAGCAGCAAGCAACAACTCTATTCACTTCATCATGGTTCAGTTCAGTTTGGAAGTCAGTTGTGACTTTGCCCTGTAACTCTAGAAACATTCTTTTGCACTCCCCTCCCATAGCATTCCAGCTTCAGCAGTCCTGGTGGAAGACTCCTTAGAAGGTAAAAATTACCGCTGTCCTCTAAAATATCTGCACAGGGGAAATCTCCCACAGTCTGACACTTAAAATATCATTGTCCTGATAATTTGGCAAGAGTTGGAAGAGAAATGAAGATAGATTTCAGATGACGGAATTAAAGATGACAGACTTGTTCCTGCATTCCATTCATGGAGCAGTCATATCATCTGCATCGTGAGGAGATGATTATTTGCACTTCAGGCAGTATGTATAATAACCTGCTGAAGAAAGGGTGATGGAAAACAGCTCAAGCAAAACAGAGGTCAAGTGAATCAATTTCTAAGCAATTCACTTGTTTGGGATCATGCTGGGAAGATTCACAAACTTATCTACCAGCAAAATGACCGTTTCTCCACCATGCAGAAGAGGAGTTGACATTGACTTCAAAAGGAGGAAAAAAATGCTTTTAAAAAGACCTCTTAAAGATCTTGATAGATGTTTTTATTAAAAACAAACAAAAAAAACTCCCCAAATGGGAATGCAGCACAGGCTCTATAACCAACTTACAGTGTATTTATGCTAAAGCTTTTAAAAATTCTTCAGAAATAAGACAAAATTGCACAACACTGGTAATGCAGTTTATTCCCCATATAAGTTTTAATGAAGTGGGGACTGTCCAGAGCAGCATTCTGAAGTCACTGTGCACAAGAACTGAACACAGCTGTAGAAGCTGTTTTCAGAAAAATAAGCACATGTTCCTCTGTTCTAACATTTTAAATTAAAATAATAATCAGGACACACACTTCTTTTCATGTCTCAGAGCATTGCCAAATTTTAGTCTTTTTTTGTATTATTGATTCTAAGAGGAGATACAAAAAGAAATTATTTTGTTAAGCTCCAGAAGTATTTACCTCCAGGATGACACACAGCTTCCCATGGGCCAACTGCATCAGGAAATGGGTAAGGTGGGCAAAGACTTCAGGAGTGGCATTCATCTGCCCCTAAATTAAAGAAAAGTTCTGTTAAGAGATGAAACCCTGAATCAAAAACACTAGTGAGAAAAATAAATAGATAGATAGATGATCTGAACTAAATGAGATTGGACTCAGCCTCAGCATAAAGGAACGCTCACCTCTAGCTGTATCTAACAAAATGCTGAACCAACTGCTTTAAAGGAAGACACAAAAAGATGATGCAGGAGTTGTGCCTACAGGACAGTCTATCTTTATATATTGTGTGCTATGCATTGAGCTGGGTCAGCTTAAAGACTCAAACATATATTTTTAGCTTGGTCAAAGTGAATTGCACATAGCAATCAATGGGCATTTAAGATGCAGGAATATTTTACAAACACATTTATGACTGACAACACAAACCACAAAATGTTACTTACCTCAGGGTCTCCAATTCCTGAATCATACCCAGAGGAGACAAGAACCAGTTCAGGATCAAACTGTTACAAAACAGAAAGAAATGTAGCACGTTCTTTTGCACTGCATTTCAACTGTACACTGCTATGCCATGACACCAGCACATTCATTAATTGTACAGTACCTCAAAAGCCGTTGGAAGTAACACATGAAAAAATGCAGCAAGATAATCTGAATTTCCCATCCCAACCTGCAAAATGGGAGAAACACAGATCAGATCTTCCTGTTGAAGTAATAGCTTTTCCTAAGGTTTTGCCAGACATAAGGAAAGATAATACCAAAAGTTAAAGACAAGACAGCCTCATAAGATCAGCTCAAACTCCTCTGTATAAGAACTATATACAGATATCCATCGTTTTGGGTCTTCAGTTCTCTGCTGAACAAGGATGGACACAGCCACCTCCTGAAGCACTCCCAGGAGTGGCTAGCCAAGATACTGAAGAAAAACGATATGCATGTGTCGTCTTCTCTCTTGAAACAAACAAACATGACATTCTGAACCTTATTTCTTAGAAGACATTTCACTGACAGGAATAAGATACACTATGCTACATCTGCCAAGCAGGCAAAGCAGCACATATTCAGAAAGCATTATCTAATGCATAAGAAATAAAGCTATTGCCTTTGTTCTGTTGGGCTGTAAATAACATTTACCTTATTCCAAGGTAAATTTATATTAAAACCTTTTCCTTTTCCCAAACCCACAGCATCATAATCAGATTCTTTGAGCGATGGCCAGAATTCCTGATGTTCGTAGCGATGCCAGGAGAAATACAAAACACTGAAAGATACAAGAAAAATCCAGCTTGACAAAAAGGCTCCAAAACTGACCCTGTGAACTCTAATATATAGTGAAAGCATGGAAATATAATTATCCTTTCCTCTTAGTTCGCTAAGCAGCTTTTGACCATAAAAGTTGGTACAGAAGGTCCTATGTCAAAATTAACCTAGGACAGCTTTTAGTAATGTCATGCATGTGCTCCCTTCAGATGAAAGACAGGACATTCTCAGTAGAACAGATTTGTTTTTTGAACCCAATGCTGTGGCTTTTCAGAAGACAGCATAAAGCTCATCTGTTTCATCTAACTAGCACTTGAACTGAGAGATTCCTGAATAGAAAGAACAGAGATATTACCTAAATCCTGGTATAGAGAGATCTTACAACTAATAATCTTCCTAAAAGTCACATTGCTCGCTCATTTTGTGTTTGTTATTCTTTATTTTTCATTGTAAAATAAATTTATGTGTTTCTTTTTGTTAGATTTTTCCCCCTTTACTTGATAACAGGTTAAAAAAAACAACAATCACTAAAATAGCAAGAACATCTTGCCTTTTGTGACATTCTAGACTTAGGAGCATAAAACAAAATCTTATTCCCTACATAAGCATGCAGTATTTAGCCAGCTAACAAAAGCATCCTTCAAACCTTGGATCTTCTTCAAATATATACTGAGTTCCTTGCCCGTGGTGCACATCCCAGTCAACAATTAGGATTCTGCATAGAAAAGCAAAATAAAACATTCAGTGGAAGAACCACGGCATAGAGGTCTGAAGGAAGTGCAGATGACTGAAGATTTTGGGACCCAAAAAGGTACGTGACACCCACGAGGCTGTGGACATCACTCTAAAATGGTACCATGTCAAACGATAACGCAACATCACACTTGGGTATGAAAAGCTTCCCTACAGTCAGCGACGCTCTTACCTCCGTAGGCGATATTTCAGTTTTGCATATTCTGCTGCAATAGCAACGTTGTTGAACAAACAGAACCCATTAGCTGCATTTCTCTGACTGTGGTGACCTGGAGGTCTAAAACAAAGTTTTATGTCATTGTTCACAACAAAGGTGAATTTTGGTGAGGAGTGAAGACTTCCTCACATTTTCTTACCTTACTAATGCCATTCCATTGCACGCTTTTCCTGACATCACAGAGTCCACTAGCTGCAAAGCTGCTCCTACAGCTAGTCTGGCACAGTGGTAAGTGCTCTAAAAAAAGAGAATTTCATTGTTATTATCAGTCGTTCATCAGCTAGTTTTAGAGATAGCATGCATAATGTGCTTTGTGACCCAATATGAAACTGACATAAGTCTATGCTAATGAAATTATATGCAGTTAGTTAAAGGCATAATTTTACAACAGAAATGCCAGTGTGCTTTCTATTAGGTTTATCTGTAATCATCACATCCTTTGTAAGGATGTTCTCTCTGAGGGAGATAAGAAATAAGAAAAGGACGTATTGAACTGACTGGTTCTACTGCTGTCTCTGAAAATAAGGAGCAAAACGTTACAGTAACAAAGGCAAAATCAAAATTTGAGTAGTATGTATACTGGCATGATATCATTACAGAATAGGTAAAAGAACACTTATCAATTTAAATTACAGCATAGCACTAAACTGGAAACGGATCAACAGAAGGGCATAAACACATGCAAGTATATTTAGAGAGCAAAACAAATTACTATCAGCATTCCCCTACTTAGAAAACCATCACACAGATGCAGTAATACAAATACCTGCAAATCCCACTACAGGAAGCAGTTTAACTTACACACCGGATGAAAGAAAAAAGAATCATAATTTCCAGAGATTCTTTTCAGTTCCTCTTCATTCATTGTCTGCGTGCTTTTTGCAGCCTCCAAGTGTTGTGAACTGCAGAGGAGAGGGAGATGAACAACACTTAACTACACAAAGCAAACAGTCCAACAGTTTTTAAATACAATTTAATTGTAATGAAAGCTAACAAAACATGTTAAGAGAGGTTATCTGTGAGACTTCACAAGTCCAGCACGTATCCTGGGATGCTGGTTGTAGGATACAGCAAAGCAATGGAGTGCTATGAAATTAAGGATTCTTGGATATCCTAAGAATATGGTGACATGCTTCTCCCCTTTTCCAGTGGTCTTGGTATCACCAAAAAGCTGTTTTTTTGTTGTGCTACAATCTATTCTGCAATCCACGCTACAGACAGGTACCATCCCAACTAGAAGTAAATTAGGATCTGACAGCTGTCAGCATATGAATTATGACTGAGAATGTGTCCAATTATCCCTTGTTGTATGGAAAACAGGTATTTGATAGAATTCCTTATGATGTATGTATACCTCCCTCTTCTCCTTGGTTCTAGAGCATAACAAGTACTTAGAAACACTGTTCCACCAATTCTCTGTCACTGCTATTTTGCCTTTGGGTGCTGAGATGGAAATTAAGGTTGATGGCATCTACCCTCCTATCTGCATCCTAACACAGGATACAGCAACCACGTATGTGTTCTGTGTGCTCCTCTTGCTGGACATCCAAAGCAACCACAGTTTCACAACAAAGTGAGACAGACCAGCATTATCTAATATAAACAGTTGTAAGCAGTGAATTCAAAATGAAGATGCTATCAAGAACAAAACTGTACGAAGCTCAGTGATTGTGTAATTACTAGTTTAACTTCCTCAGCAGCCTCCTACCTAATGGAGGATTCAAACAACATTTTTGTAGGAGTTATGCACTTGTTTCAATATGAAAGTCTTTAGAAAAAAAAGACATCTATTATCTCTACGCTACATTTGGAAAGAAAAACAAGACCTTAGTGAATTTTTTGTTCCAAGCCATATAGAAGGGACAACTCAACTGGGAATTGTTATCAAGTCTCTTCAGTACCTGATCAGCAATGTACTTACTGCAAATATAAATTATATTGGTAAGCAGAGCTGCCTGCATTCCAATAAGAACATTTTGAGGAAAAATACTGTTCTGGAATCTGAAAATTTAAACATGATTCAGGATCCATTGTCCTCAAACAAGCATCAGGTCACCTGTGTGCAAACTTTTGTTTCCTGGGGTTCTACTGCTGGGTTCAGAAATTGTTTAAAGACAGTACAGCTGATGGTCTTAAGGGAGCAAGCTAGATGGAATCTTAGTGGAAGTTCTCCTAAACAACTCTGCCAAGAAGCCTCAGCAAAGCCTTCCCACCCTTCACTTGGGAGCTGATTTAAAGGTAAAGCCCTCACCCTGGATACATTTTAGTTACGTTGTATCTCTGCATCCACTGATGTGGGCCTCCATGCTGCCCCGTGGAATGTTATTCTAACTTAACCTCACCTCTGCCGTGTCACTGCAGACTTGTCAAGCAATCTAAACTCTCGGCTGGATTTGGTTAATAGCATCTGTGCTGCCCACTTCCCTTGGGGACTGTGGCATTGTGCCCTTGCCTATGCAGACACTGCCTCTGTCTGCTTTGCCATCAGTGCTTTGCTCCCAGCTCCACTTGTCCTTCAGGGAAAGACTTCACTGCTTCCTAACAAGAGAAAATGAGCACACAGCCAACATGCGTGTTGGTTGCAGAGCTATTGCACCAAGGTGACAAGTGCCAGAGCAGACTTCAGAGCCATGAGTTCAGAAGGGGCAAGAAGCTCATCCTCTGAATTTCCCCCACAGACTTAGCTACAAAGCTTTCCTGTTGGTTCACTCTGTCTCAAAGATGTTTGGGAGAAACAGGTGGTTATCAGTTTTCCTACATTTTTAAATTAGAAACTTACTTTTAATATTGTATTCAAATCAGCAATCACTGCTCAAGAATCCAAAGAGTGGAAATGGTGATATAGTGGAACAGCAAATTCATTCATACTTCAGCATCTATAGCATAGACAACATGATTTGTGCAAGTTTCAGCCTGACACATTTTCCACTGAAATTACTGGAAGTTATTGAGCTTAGGACCAGGTATTTTTAAATGGTGTAAAACATGCTCTGGAGGTATGACATCTGTTATTTCATTAGATTAAACTGAATGGCAATAAAAATAAATTTCAGACCTGTGAACTAAGAGGATTTCCTCCTCGCTTCCTTCTCTAGCAGGCACAGGGATGCATCTTTCCACAAGATGGTAACATTGAAGCTGCTCATAGGAGGCCGACAGTCTTTCTGGCACTTCAATATCACAAATAGGACTGAAAATAAGTGATATTCATATTATTGCAACACACACCAGCACAGCTTTCAAGTAATAATAATGCCTACTATGCACTATAAGTAAAGATTCAATATCCTCAGAGGGACTTGTGAGAGTAAAATAATTATAATAAAACTCTTTGAATACTTTCCAGTTTAGAATTGAGCCAAACAATTACAAAATCTGTAAGCAAAAATAAATTTATGTCTCTTGCACAGAAATAAACAAAACAACATTAAATTTTCCTTGTTCTCTCACCACTTAAAGCAGCAACTACTACCACAGACACGGAGACATTGAGATTAAAAGTGAAGATCTTACAGGGAAGATCAGCAGAGGATTTGACAGGACTTCATTTCAAGCACAACAAAGGTACTGGTCTAATTTACATAAATGTGAGCCAGCTGTATATATCAATTTCTAATTGAACTTAATTGAAGGGTTTCAGATGAGAAAGTAAATCCATATGTTTTTCCAAGGTCAGTGAGACTTCAGCTTTATGAGCAATTTAGTTAGCTTAAACTGCGGTGTTTAGAGAACTAATCCCCTTACTAAGGCCTACTGGACTGCAGAGCTTCAGCTTCTCAGATCCAGCTTCAGATTAGTAGTAGAGTATCTAGATACTAATTAGCAGTAAAAGTTTTTCGAGAAGGCAGAGTTTCTGTTCAGCAGGAAAGCTACCAGGTTGTCTGTCCCTACACACTGCACGTCACATTTACAAAAAATACATGCACTGCGTACTTTCTTGATAAGAATCAATTCATAAAAAGGACAGGACGTTACTGACTTACTCGTTCCAAAGCAGCTTATGCCTGGTCATCGCCTCATCGTAAATCAGGGCTGTTCCTGAAGCCATCGCTACAGATAGAAGAGAGGTCCCTAGGTGCGTATCTCGGGTACAGAACAGATGTACGATGAACAGCCAGTGGGAATGTATGCATGCAGGGCAAAGGCCTGCAGGAGGATCTCGCACTTCTGACTTCTAAGTACAAAGCGCAAACAAAGAAGCCTCGAGGGGCTGGTCTGTGAGGACACAGGGCAGAACGGCCGGCACGGCCCTGAAGGCTGGATCCGCGCGGGCTGGATTCCCGGTTACCAGCAGAAGGACGTGCGGTGCATTAGAGGGGGTACAGAAGCTCCCTCAGTCCGCGGATAAGGGCCTGAGGCCAAGCCGGGGCGAGACCTGGGCCGGCAGGCGCGTAGGGGTTACTCACCTCAGGCTGAGACAGGTGCGCGGGAGATCTCGTGCTCAGCAGCCCCGCACGGCACCCGCACACCGCGGTCCCCACACGGGCCGCCCGAGCAGCACCTCGGCCTCACCGCCGTCTGAAGGCACGGCGCCGCCCGCTCGCAGCACGGGGCGGGATGGCGGGAGCGGGCGGGGCTGCGACGCGTCCAAAGGAACGCCCACAGCCCCGCCCTCAGGTGGCTGCTGCTGCTGCGCGGGCGTTTTGCTTCCGAGGGGTTGGTAGTTAAGGGGTGAAACGTTCCCAGCCGGAATTCCGGAGTTGAATTTTCTCTGGCTCTCACCGTAGAATGATAGAATGGCTTAGGTGGGGAGGAATCTTACAGATCATCCCGTTCCAGGCCCCCAGCCGCGGGCAGGGCTGCCAACTAGACCAGGCTCCTCTGCACACCTCGTTGACGTATAGCAGAGGGTCTTAAATCACATATATGTACATATGAAGAAAAAATTGCTCCATCCAATTCCACTTTACTTTGTCAGAGCTCTGCAAAGTGGGGCTGGCAGCTGGAGCTGCGTTATGCCCAGGATAGTTCAAATACCACCGCTGTTTTAAATATACAGCAGCTCCAAGAGCAAGTAAGCAAAGGGCTGTAAGGTAACCCCTCATGTAAAGAGAAATAAATGGAAAATCGACACAAGCTAAGATGACCTCCTTTACCTCATAGTCAATCAAGCAACCAGTTCTCAGCAGCTCACATCAGTAGCCATGTCCTTTCGTGCCAAGACCAGGCGGTTGATGTTGTCCTGGCACTTAAATGGGTCACTCCCTGCAGGGCCGCCCATGGCTGACCTGAGCCCCATCAGACGCCTTTGGGAGCAGTTGGCAACTGTGGGCACTGATGGAGTGCTTTAAATATTTACCATTTTTCCAGCAGAAAACATTGCAGATTCGGTGGGATCAAATGAACCGAGCTTTTGAGTCACCTACGTTTTTCAGAACAGTGTCTTCATTATACAGTATAAACTGAATATAGGTTGTTCCAACTTTTTTTTTTTCATCATTTCCAGAAGTTTTCTAGCTCATGATAGAAAATCATATAATCATAGATTCACAGAATAGCCCAAGCTGGAATTCCGAGACCCACAAGGATCATTGAGCTCAACTCCTGGCTCCACACAGAACCACCCTAAATTCAAACCGTGTGTCCAAATTCTCCTTGTGCTCTGGCAGCTCGGGGCTGTGCCCATTGCCCTGGGCAGCCGCTTCCATGCCCACCACCTTCTGGTGCACTGACATTTTGTATGTCTGAATATGAAATAGGACTTTTCCACAAAGGAGCTCTGATTTAAGAAGATTCCAAAACTGCAGTTACCCCATGCTCGGAGGCATTACCACCATTGATCATCTTGATCAATGTAAAATGACAACAAATGACCAGATTTTCTTGCGGTTGGGCTGTGTTACGTTTGCTGTTATTTATTACGATTTATTCCATTTTCATTCGGACAAAAGCGACCAGCAGAGGGCCACCTTCCTTTAAAATTCTCTAATGGAAAAGTATGAGGTGTGTTAATGAAGCATTAGCCTGAGAAAGTTTGGTAAGTCAAGAAAATGGCGGGGTGAACCCTGTAGAAGAATACACTAAAGGTACTGAGCTGGATGAAAACTGTTTCATTTCAGTTTTTATACATAATACGAAAGATTTTTGCAATAACTCAAGCCTTTATACATAGATGATCAAATTCAAATTTCACAAGTAGTTAAAATACTATAGAAAGTAGGCCTGATAACACTGGATCTAAGTTCAACTTATAATACAGTTTGAAAGGAAACAAAGATTTTACATGCCACTTATACATTCTTATTTACAACGCAGGTTTGGCATAAAAAGTGAAATAAGCTTTTTACAAGTAATAAGATAAATATTTACAAGCATTTATGGTACCTCCATTTCTGAGTGGCCAAAGTCAGCTGGGAGTCCCTTCTCTGCCAGTGGTAAATCTGATTAACTAAAATGATACCCTCCTCAATCTTCCCTACAAGGAGATACACCATAGGACGATGGCTTTGAGTCATCCTCTGTGTACAATTTTCATTGATAAGCAGCCATTGTTGTATCATATGCTGAGTTTCATAAGGCAAGAGTGAGCCCTGGGTAATGAATTCCACGTGGCACTCAATGTTGTACTCTTGGTCGCCAATTACTGCTCTTTTTTTGGACAGCTTTACTTTCACTGCTAAGGAAAAAAGGAAACATGTAAGTCACTCAGTTTGTTCAAGTATAGAAATAAATACCCGCTAAAGCAGGAAGATTCCTTAAAAATACTCTCATAATTCCTGGTGATGGAGTGTGGTGACATCTTCTCCCACAGCAGCATAGATTTTCTAACTTTTTTTTAAATAAGTTTGCAACTGATCATTTTTTTCACTGAATTGGCAGCTAGGCAAACATATTTTCAAGAAGATTTGTAATGTATTTTTGCCGTCATTGTATACGTGATGGTGACTGGATAATTAGATCCTGTAAGCTGTTGGCGTGATTCTAATATCACGAGGCTGACCTCCTTGCCCAACTAGTCTACTGATACTCATTTTGTTTCTCTCAGCAGTAATGTTTGGTGATACCACCCTGTTACATTCTCCCTTTTCATCACAGACATCACAGACATCTGTCCATCTAACACAACCCCACCAACACTTCTTAGCATGAAATTTCTCTGCAGTACCTGTTCTAAAGCCAGCTGTGTTCACTAGTAGTCTCTATTGGCTTCAAAGGACTTTGCAGGACATTTCTAGGGCAAACTCAGAAGTATTGCCCGCCACTTCAGTAAAATAACATGAGGTCAGAATTTATTTTGTATGAGTTTCTGAGTCTTTTCAGTAAGCTATGTATTGTGAACAATTAATGCACAATTAACAAGGACATGCCATTTACTGGTGAAACAACCAAAGCTTTATTGGGTTTAATTACTAATAAAAGACAAACTGGTTTATATGCCTGATTTTGCCAGAAATATTTTCCATATACCATATTGTACGGCAATGAAGCCAGCCCAACAAGAACAGAAAAGCTATTTGTTTGTAAAATAGATGATGAAGAAGTCTTTCGTGCAAAAGAAATCCTTAAATTTTGCTCAGAAAGAACATATTCTGAAAAATAACCTAAAGTTGACTCAATATCCAAGCTCTCAGGATGAAGATTTTGAAACCCCAGCAGAAGCTGTCAGCTATTTTAATCCCAATTTAAATGCATTTTAGAAGGAGAACTGATAGTTTGATAGTCATATTAACAAGGACTTACCAAAATTACTGTCACAGAAAACTTCGAGAACTCTTTTGTGTGTAAAGAGTTCCTCCACTGCTGGGCAGGTCTGGCATGCAGGCTTTGGTAGGACTGGTAAGAAATGGCAAAGTCTCATCATTATCTTTTAGAATGTTTTGTGTTAGTTTTCTGCTGTAAAAGTCAAGAGCTTGCTGTTTAACTATGAGTAATTATAAAAAATACAGAATTGTTCAGTGATAATGTATGCATCTGCATGCTTCTCCGAAAACATGGCTAAGGAGGAAAAGGAGTTTCTGTTTCCACGCACATTGACTCTTTGTTTAAACTGATAAACTCAGTCATCAACATCAAATACAGTGTTTATAAATAGTGTTTTATTTTCAGTACAGCTGTGGAATGGAGAAGGGGTCAAGTGAGAGTTCTGTCAGTGATCCTAGGTTCAGCTGGACTAATATTGAGAACATAGGAATTGGAGTGTGCCAGCAGCAACTTACTTGTACTGCTATTTTCCTAAGTAAACACACCTAAGCACATTTGAAGATTTGACCATTAATGTCATGCTAACTCCCTTAGGAAAATCAGATAATAAGTCCTCCCAACTTTTCCAAGTTGATCTGAAGACCAATTCAATTAATCGTGAGTTTATCAGATCCCTGATAAAGCTGATAAGCCTGTAAAGAGACCTCAAAATAAATAAAATACAGTGCCTGTAGCTGTGCAGGGAGATAATCACTTCCTCTGCTATGTGTAGACCAACTGCTCTTCATTGAATTGAACTGATGCTGACTCACATCATCTGAGGAGTGCCACAGTTTTCACTGCAGGCATTAATACTTCCCCCCTTCTGCACAAACAAGTATGCATAGATGCAACTCCGATTACAAAGTCACAGACTGAGAACTGTGTCCCTTCTGTCTTGTTTACCTGCAGCATACAGTACAGCCACCCTGCCATCTTCCACCTACCTTTGTGCAAATATTTATATTCCTTTGTAAGCGATGCCAGACACATGTCCTCGTCTGCAGGGAACCGACTGCAGTCCAGGCTTTCTGGCCAGGCGTGCCCATGGCAGGTGAGCACAGGAGCACAGCTGTCCCGAACACCAACACACATACTCCTACAGGGGAGGATGAACCTGCACCAGAGGGAGCACCAGGCTGAAGCTGTTCAACTCACTCAGTGATAACAAAGTATTTCAGCAGTGATTTCTGCACAAAGTACATACTGATATTTGACAACCTTCAGCAATAATTCATTTCTAGAAATGGCTTATTCTTCTACGTTACAGAATTATGTTTTTATTAATGCTATTATGTTTTTATTTATGTTTTTCTTACTATCTGAGAAAATCCTTGTCAAGAGCCCAAGTCTCTTTGCAACGGGTATTTGGTTTCATTGTCACCTATATTCAACTTTAAATTAACAAGAACAAAATTTCAACTGAAACAAACTAAAATATGATATTCTTTAACTACAGCATTCATTTCCACAGAGCAAACTAAAGCTGAAGTTGAACTCAAGAGCTTTTCAGTGCTTTTTTTTTCCCAATGACTATGAAATAGTTAAGAGAATTATTTCTGATGAGGCAGAGATCACCTTTCCATTACAATTGAAGTACATTTGATTTGATCCCTGTTCTGGCCAAAAGGCTGGGTGCTGTGATACTTACGTGTCCAGGCAGATGGGGGCAAACAGAGAGCACAGGAACATCCTCACATGAGGGTGACAATCCGTGTGCACCAGGTGCTGCCAGGTGGTGGATTTTAGGACGACCTCCGCCATGCTTGTGTGTCCCATCAGGTTGGGAAGCCTCATTTCAGAGTATCCAATCTCGTGGCA